TGTAACTGAGGCAGGAGGATCACAAGAATTCAGTGCCAGCCTTGGGCTTCATAACAAGATCCTATCTCAACAACACTACAAGGTCAACCTTCTAAACAATCTGCATTCAATCCACCTGGGCTCCTTCCAAAGCCTACACTAACTCAAGCCTTGTTGATTCCCACCAGTCTCCTCTATGGAATGAACTCACTATAAGGACCAATGGTCAGAACTAGGAGGTCACTGTAGAGGAGACCTGTGCAGTGACTTTAGTATGAGTATCTGCAAACCAGAGACCTGCTTCTAGAAGGTTCAGGAAACAGATCATACCTCACTCTATGGATATGAGTCCCATACCATGGTCATAAAACCAAAGTACAAATGGGATTTGGGAGGAGAGAACCCTGCAAGGGTGTGGGCTGGGTCACCCTTTCGCAGGGTTGGGAAGCCTGCTCTGGACACACAGGTGCTCCTATGAGCAGGAGATACAGTTTTGTGGCTCCCAAAGTTTCTAACAAGCTGTGACACACCCTCAACAGCTGACAGGTCATTTTTGCTGCACTATGAACTGACTTTGTGTGAAGCATTTGTTATTCCGTCTTGTGGTTTCTAATAGAGAGTGTTCCCCAAAAAGGCTCCCGTGTTGAAGATTTGGTTCCCTGCTGGTGGCACGGTTGTAAGGTAATTGGATCAGGAGGGCACTAATCCCAGCAATTGATTAATCCATTGATGAGCTCATAGCTGAATGGGTTCTTAGGAGGCGGGGTCTGGTTGGAGGAAGAGGGTAACTGAGGCATGTCTCTGAAGGGTAAATCTTGCTCTGGTCCACTCCAATCTAACTGTCTACTTGCCAGTCACCATGAACTGAGCAGCTTTGTCCAAACATGCTCCCACTGTCATGATGTACTGCCTCACCACAGGCCCAGAATCAACAGTCAACCAGCACAGGCTGAAACCGCTAAAACTATGAGCACAAATAAATCTTTCCTCCTTTAAATTTCTTTTCTCAGGGTTGGAGAGATGGCTCAGTGGTTAAAAGCACTGGCTGCTCTTGCAGAGGACCCAGGTCAGCACCCACATGGCAGCTAGCAACTATCCTAACTCCAGTTCCAGGGGATCTGATGTCCTCTTCTGACCTCCATGGGCATTACATCACATGGCTGCACTTACAAACATTCAGGCAATATACTCATGCACATAAAAAATGAATAAATTAAATATTTAAATTGCTTTTCTCAGGCTAATGAGACGGCTCAACAGATAAAGGCACTTGCCACAAAGTCTGATGACCTGAGTTTGCTCCCTGGAACCCACATGGTAGAGAGAGAAAAGTGACTCCCACAAATTGTCCTATGACCTCCACACATGGCACATGTATCCCCCCAGACGTGTGTAATAAAAAGTAATTAATTGCTGGGTCAGGGGCCACACTTTTATTCCTAGCACTTGGAAGGCAGACGCAAGTGGATCTTTGTGAGATCAAGGCCAACCTGATCTACCTGTTGAGTTCCAGGCCAGCTGGGGCTACAGGGAGACCCTGTCTCAAAAAAAGCGGGGGAGGCTGGAGAGATTTGCTCAGGGGTTAAGAACATTGACTGCTCGTGGAGAGGACCTGGGTTTGATTTCCAGCACCCACATGGTGCTAACAACTGTCCCATTCCAGGGGAATTCGATGTCCTGCCCTCTTCTGACAGCTTCAGGAATTGTACAATGTGGGTGCACTTACATACATGCGGGCAAAACACTCATACACACAAAATAAAAAATAATAATAAACCCAATAATAAACTGGAGGGAAATATACTAGTTCAAAAAGCCTATTGACAAATACACATCCTTCACACACATACACATACACACACACACACACACACACACACACACGAGTACATATGTATAGCTAAAGGCTATATAATAAAAAACAGTGCAAAGCAAGAGGAACCTCCCTTCAAGTTGTTGGTTAGGGTAATTCAAGAGACTCCCCCAATAGCACAGTCTATTACCACGGCCCTTGATTGCCTCCCAGAACATGAAGGTAAGATCCTATTGCTGAAGATAGGACATACTTCAGACAGAGGACTTCAGATATAGCAATCAAGCTGGAACTGGCTAGCCTCCTTCCAGAAGACAAGCTCTCATGGTATCAGAGGACACTATGCAAGCTGCCAAGGAAGAAAACCAATCAATGGTCCCACCCAGCTGTAAAACCTAATAAACACAATGACTGGCCCAGTAAACTATCTGTATTGGTGCAGTAGTGGTACTCTTATCCTAGGGATAATCATCAGCTGTCTAATTGGACCTAAGACCCACTCAATGGGAAAGAACTCATGTGTGGAACTGTAGCCATAGCCAACTACACGTGGCTGGAGAGGTCATAGATCTTAGAGAAAAACCTACTTTTGTCACATCTTACTGTACACTAAATGTGTATCCTTATATTTACAGACAAGTGTACCTCTCACCAATCATTTAAAAAGCTTCTTTTTGCAACAGATAGGGGCTATTAAAGAATTCCAGAACTGGTCAAACACAGAGAACAAGTGTCTGTAAGATGCTTAACCCTAAGTGACACATTTACTATGCAATCTCTATTCCTAAGGCCCAGGGAACATAGTGGAACAGGAGGCAGAAGGAATATTAATGTGTCTTTCAACTCTCACTAGAAGAGTTTCCTCATGCAACAGATGGTGATTACTTGAGAAAGCCACAACAGGCCAAAGTGCAGAGAATAAGAGGCTGCAGAGTGTTTGTCCCTGGGTAGGACACCTATATCAAACCTCAGCCACCCAAGGCTCAGGGGCCATTGTGGAAAAGGGGGCAGAAAGACTGTTAAGAGCCAAGGGTGGTGGATGACTGCAAAGAACAGAGTTTTTCAGGTGGCTGGGAAGTTGTTCATACGAACTTACAGCAATGGTGGCAGAATGCACAAGACCCATGAAAGCTCAAACCAAACAAAAACCCCAGCACAGAGGTGGGGAAATGGGTAAGGAAACTCCAACCTTAGCTGAGGAACTATTGGCAAACGATGGCTACTGGGAGAGAGAGTTGGTTTTCTTTAAGTAAGTGATGCTAAATAGGTTGACAGTGGATAGACTCACATCAAGGGACATTTGGGACACAAGATAAGCCTGTAGACTGCATGAAATCCAGTGGGAGTTTGTAGGAGGGTTTTGGATATGGGAGGAGGTCTAGATATGATCAAGATGCATTGTACCAAATTTGTAAAAATTTTAAAGCTAATAATAATTATTATTATTATTGTTTTTCTCATATATCTATATTTTTTTGAGATAAGGTCTCTCTATAGCCCCAGCTGGTCTGGAACTCAACAGGTAGACCAAACTGGTCTTGATCTCAAAGATCTGCTTGCTTCTGCCTCCCAAGTGCTGGGATTAAAGATGTGTACCACCATGCCTGGCTTTCTAAGATATTTGTCTCAGTGGCAAAAAGTCTGAGTAACATATCCCTCTAGAAAAAAAGACCTTCTTTGAAAACACAGTGGTTCTTGGTCTTCTGGCTCAGCAAGTGGTGGGGGTACACAAGAAATATATAGCAGTGGACTGTCCTGTATGAGTTGGAGGTCAGAATCAGGCATCTTGGGTTCTAGCCTGAACTTGCCACTTGTCAGCTATGTTATAGTAGGTAAGAGTTCCTACCTCTCTGAGATAGGATCTCACAGTATAGGTCTGGTTGGAGCTGTCTATGTAAACCAAGCTGACCTCAAACTCCTAGTGAGCCTTTTGCCTCAAGCCTCCCAGCAGCATTCCCATTTATAAAAAGAGGTTACATTCATCTCATTTAAGGACCATAGACACAAAGTGCTGTATGGATGCTCTGTAAACTGCCAGGTGCCACACAGATGTAACATTCTGCAGAACTTTATGGGGAGGACATTTTCTACATGAGTTAAACACATACTTTCCTTTTAGAAAACAGTCCTCTCTGTGGGAAGTGGTGTTTATTTATCTTTAGACAATCTCACTGCCTCTAAGAATCAGGGTAAAATGTATCAACTCATTGGTTCAATTGTATTAATGGAGAACCTTCCATAGTAATGTGATCCTATCTCCTTGGGAGAGGAGGGACTTTGTGTAGACACAGAGCACAGGTTTCAGAGTTAGTACCAAAGTGAGTATGAATTCCAGTTTTACTACTTATAAGCCAGTGGCTCTGGGCCAATATTCATCTTCTCTAAGCCCTGGAGTCTTTATCATTAAAGGGGAAATGGATGTATCCAAGCTCCAGGCTTGTTCTGAGAGATGATGGGTGCATAATTATGTAGCACAGTTCCTAACGCACTGCTATTATTTTTTGTCATTCTAGTATCATTGGCAGTAGAATCCTTATTGTTGTCAACCTCAGCACAAGGCTGCAGGGAACTCTGCCAAGGCAGAGGAGTCTTCCTTACAGATAGAGAAGGATGCAAAGAATGTAGAGATGTAAGTGTGGAGAGAAGAAGAAAAGTGAACAAACTGCTAAGAGAGGAGGGAGCAGGGGTAGGCTGGGGTCAAGTTGCAGATAGACTGGCAGCAGCGGCTGGGTGAACTTAATGAGGTAGCATCAGGTTTGCAGGGCTGTGGAATAACAAGGGGGCAGCTGAAGCTCTGTGGTCTGACCATGTGCGACACAACCACAAGCTCTTTCCTGGTAATGTCCAGCTCCCCAGAAGCAGATGCCAAGCACCGTAGTCAGAGTGTGGTGGTACCTCAACCAACAAGACCAAATTCATTCACAATAAGCATGAATTTAATTCATGAATTTAAATCCACTCCAATTTCAACCCAGCTCACTTTCCACTGAATAATGAATTTTCCGTTTCTTATTTAGTGCTAAGATATAAAATGTGATCCAGATGAGAGGCCCCAAGGCCAGGCAAGAGGATGCTTTCCACATTTGGACACAACTTTACAGCCTGGCCAGATCAAATCATGGGCAAAGCTGGGGTCAGGTCTTCACTGGGTGCTGCCCTTCTGCTGTCTCCTGGAGGCTGTCTCATAGATCATAAATGCTAAGCTCCCGGGCTCCACAGCAGCACATATATAAAATTTAGAAGGCAACAGAGAAGCTTAGCATGGCCCCTGTGCAAGAATGCCGCATAAATTCCTGAAGCATCTCCTATTTTTCTATAGCACTATAATTTATAATTTATCTATTATATAGTTTAAGATAAACTATACAGGAGGAGCCCAAAGTCTCCAAACATAAAGGAATTCAAAGGAGATGGAAAGACTAAACCCAGACTTAATCAGTATACAGTGTATGCATCTGCTGAAATATCACACATATGTCATAGTACCATGCAATGAGTGCATGTTTAATAAAAGGGGAAGATTCTTGACTCCATTGTAATGCTCTCAGAAATTGGATGAACTACAGGGGTAGGTCCCTAAATGCCAGGTCACAAAGACACGAGTGATGACATCCCAATACTATGGGGGCTAAAGTTTCAAATTCTAGCTAATTATCACAGATAGGAAAAGTAAGAAGGGACTTTAGAGATCATCTAGTGAGCACAATCCACACATTTGACAGGGGAGAGAAAGTGAAAACCAGGGAAATTGGCGTAGTATGAGTCAACCCCAGTCAAATTTCGCCTAGATAGAAGAGCCAGGACTGGAACCCCAGAGCCAATGTGGTGGCTAAGGTGGGACACAATCCACCAGCATTCAGGGGGGAGTCTTCTCCTTTATGGGGACAAGGTGCCTGCAGGCTCTCTTCATGAATAACAATGGTGCTGCTGGATCATCACTGACTAGGCCTCTGTGACTAATTTTGAGATTACTGGGTCGATGCTGCTAACCCATGTTTGGGCCTTCGCCACGACATTACCATAGAATGATTCACATCACCGTGACAGCTCTTGGGATGATTCATAACAGCCATAATAATCCTGCCGTCCCTCTTTTGTTTTGCATTTTTCACTTGGGTTCATTAGTGTTTCTCCCTCATTAACTACCTGATCTCCAGAATACCCAAAAGGCAGTGAAGTAAAATGTAACCATTTACATCAAGAAGACATGTTCGCACTCACTTGTAATTCCAGCATCCAGGAGGCTGAGGCAGGAGGATTGTGAGTTTGAGGCAACTCTGGGTCACATAGTGAGTTTCAAGCCAACCTAGGCTATATAGTGAGACTGTTTTAAAAACAAACAAACAAAAAGACTGGGACCAAGAAAGGTGGGTGAGTCACCTGAGGTCATCCACTGAATAAGGAAGGGTCTTAACTAAAGGTCTTTTAACCGCAGTGACAATGTTCTTTTTTTGTCTGTTTACACATTTGCTAAAGGGAGCTTCTAAAACTGTATTCCTGGCCCTCCTTCCCTGCATGTGACTTTGATATTCAATCTCCACCCTTTTGGTCCCCTGTACTCTGGATCACTCTTATCAGGCAGCGTGCAATTCTCACAAAGGAGCAGCTAGTGGTTTTATAACGGACAGGGGTGGGGCTGCCTTTCCTCCCAGAGTTATTAGAAGGACCCAGCATGTCCAAAGGAGAAGTGATAAAGCCACAATTGCAGATAAAATAGCACACAGGCCCTCTCCCCAGTGCCGTACCAAAAAGACTTCCAAGGGTGTCCAACTTTTTGACATTGTGACATGACACTGTCAGGCCACACTCAAAACCATAGCTATCCTGGGATGCACGCAGCCTCTGTGGGGCTGCAGACTAGACATAATTAAAGGGAGAATTCAGGTCAACTTCCCCGCTAAGAATAATATACTAGTTTTCTTTTTCTTCCTTTATACCATATAATTTTCTTTTTTAAAAACTTTTTTTTTTTGCAGTGCTAGGGATGGAACCCAGGGCCTTATGCCTGCTAGACATGTGCTCTTAGCTACATCCCCAGCTGTCCATTTTTCTTTCTTTTAAAATATTTTTTATTTTATAAAACTTTGATATTAGAGGAATAAACTTATTTATTTCATATTCTTATTTGTGAATTTTAAAAATATAACAGTAACAAGAGCATAACAAATTCCACAAACTCATTGCCATGCCCTAAATAATGGTCATTTCTGACTCATATAATTCTTTATGAAAGAGATATGGCAGCACATACCTGTTATCTCAATACGTAGGAGGCTAAGGCAGGAAGATGGACAGTCTGAGGCCAACCTGGGCTGCATAGTAAGATCCTGTCTAATTCCACAAACGTGGTGTGTGTGTGTGTGTGTGTGTGTGTGTGTGTGTGTTGGTGGGTGGGTGTACAAAGTTGACATCCTCTTTGAGATGTTTCCCAGTCCAATTCCACCCTCATCTCCCCAAAGCCACCTATGGGTGGTTTGTGTTTACCAATCTATCTATGTTAGAATCTATCTACATATGAAAAACATGAGTCTTCTACATGTATGTGTTCATAAAACAGCATATAGGGCTAATTTCAACAAAGTTTCTCCAGAAGAAATAAATACATATTCTCCTAAGTTTCTTTCAAGATTAAACGCAGCATGATGGAGTGAAAATTTAGCAAAATCAGGAGCTTCAGGTTGGGTCCTAAGGCTAAGATTACTCTGTATGGGACTGTAGGTCAGTCTTCTTCCCTGTATCCCAGGAATTTTTTTTTTTTTTTTGAAGAGAAAACTGGATGAAAGGACCTCTGAGCTCCCTTCCACCTTTGAAATCTGATGACTGTGCAGTTCAACTTCCTCATCTGTCACGGAGAGACAATAATGCCCCGCTTGCTGTGGTCCAGGACTGCCGTAAAGATCAAAGCGGACATGCAGGTGCTCTGTGAGGCACGATGATAACCATAACTATGCTTATTATTATTCTCAGAAACTAGGCTGATGCTAAGCTCTCAGGAATACTTTTAAAGAAACCATTAAGACATACGTACAAGATTTAGTTCAGATGACTGCATTGCAGGCCAGCCAGTGTGAAATTGACTGAATTTCATGTACCCCTCTTATATTGAGGAAGCCATTGAGCACAGCTCTCTTAACTCTATTGGTAAAGATTTAGCGAATGAAATACCCAAGTGTCTCGTTATATAATCCTCTGTTCCATGAAGACGTTTCTAGTCTGACTCAGGGCTTTCAGAGTGAAATGAGCTTGGATCCATTTGGGGCTAGAGTTGTTTTGTCTGATACACAGCTCTTCAGAAGATCCACATCGGACAGAGTTTTACTTATTTTATGAAGGTTAAAATCTAGGAAGCTGGTTTGACCTTTGGGGGATTTTTCCATTTTCTCAGTAACATAAGATACAGTGATCACTCAACTGAGACGCTTTCCGGGGGCGGGGGGGGGGCATTTGAGAATTTGGAGATGGAAAAACAATTTGAATTATATACTTTAAAAGTCTAGGGTTGGGGATTTAGCTCCATGGTAGAGTGCTTGCCTAGCAAACACAAGGCCTTAGGTTCGGTCCTCAGTTCCGGAAAAAAAAGTCCAATGCAAAGTTCTCTAAGAAGCCAAATTGCTAAAGTTTATATGTATGAATGAAATGTCAGGGTAGTACTGCCCTGGAGGAAATCAATATATTCTCAAGTATTGTGCCTCTGTGTTCTGGTCTGTCTCCCTGTGACACTTTCACCTAGAGAAGCACCATTCTTCAAAATGCAGCTCATCCAGGAAGGCTGCTTCTCTTTCCCAGCCCCCAGAAGGCTCTGCCACTCTCAGCTCCACTCTCTTACCGCGTATGCCACCCTCTCAATAACTGAACAACTTCTCCATTACCCCATGATCATTCGAAAACAGAAACTACAGGTCCCATTCCATGTCACAGCGTCTGGTTACCTGGCAAATATGCAGAACCAATTAGCGTTTCTGTTCATGTACAAACTGCTCCCTGTATGTGCATATGCAGACAATAATTTTGTGTATCGCATTCTCAATTTGGTTTCCTGGCTAAATGGCCCATATATGTGTTGCTACAACGCTTCGAAAGATGAAGCTCTGAAGAGAATTTGGATTAGATTCAGTCTTTGAACACTGTCAAAATTATGTAAATACTACCAACCACAGCAAGTATAACATTCTAAAATATTCAACAAATGGCTTGTTGTCAAATTTGCCTTTTAACTAAATCTGAAGAAAATGCCACTTCAGTGTGCGGTCTGAGATGTGTGTAATCTACATGATTTGGAGATGAATTATGTGATCCAGGAAGGTCTCTATGTTCTCTGGGCTTTCTTTTCAGCACAGTGCATTGCTGAGGTGTTTTTTTTTTTTTTTTGGTTTTTTGTTTTTTTTTGTTTTGTTTTTCTTTGAGGGAGGGATAAATGTACAAGATAATTATGAAGTTCAAGTCCATTTTAAACCAAAACAAAATTTTAGATATTTTAAAAATATTTTTATTTTTTATTTTTATTTTGTGTGTTTGAGTGTATTGCCTGAATGTGTATAAGTGCACCTGTGTCATGAAATGACCATGGAGCTCAGAAGAAGGCATTGGATCCCCTGGAACTGGAGTTACAGATGGTTGTTAGGTGCCATGTGGGTGCTTGGGAATGGAACCTGGGTCCTCTGCAAGAGCAGTCAGTGCTCTTAACCACTGAACTATCTCTCCAGCCCCAAGTTAGTTTTTTAAAATTCTCAAACTAGCTGATCTTTTCGAAGAGCTACCATATTAATATGGGAATTTTAACTGATGTGCTTTAACTGTGTTCTTAAAGCTAAGAACTAGGTAGGAATCTATGTGAAGCTGAAGCGGTGGGACAGGTTTAATGAAGGGGGTGACTGTTTTGGATATAAATAGACCTGCTATTATGCAGGTTGTAGCACTGATAACTGCACATCTTATTAAGTTCATTCTTATTGATGTAGGTCTTGCTTTTCTTGTCTGTAAAATGAGAGAGTCGGATGAGACTACATCTAAGGTTTCTTTATACCTATGGTTTTAGGATGGTGTTTTCCTAAAGCAGTCATTCATGACACTTGGAAATGTTAGGATGACCCTGGTACACAGGTGCATGGTACTGGAATGATTTTGGGACAGAGAGAGTTTAGTTTCTGGCCCCTATTTTCCCATTAGTCCTGGGTGGTTTGGGGAAGAAGCACTCAACCTCCATGTAACTGAACTGTATGGTTATAAATGGACAGAGGGACATGACAGTGGTGGTTCTCAGGTACCAGGAGAACTTAGAGATGTTGAATGCATGTCCAGACTCTTGGGGGTTGA